GGGGGGGGGGGGGGGGGGGGGGGGGAGATTTTCGTCGCTTCCTGATTGGTCCTTTTTATTAACAGGATTTAGGGTTTGAATCAAAGGTTGCTGGGCCAGTTGGGATGTTCCTCCTATTCCCTGTGTCATTCCATAGTCTCTGCTCCTCTGTATATACAAAGCAAGCAGAAACTATGGCAGTTTGGTTTGTGTATCCATCACAATCACTATACTAATCAACAGTTTAGAGTTGAAACATATTTATTTAGATTCATATCCCTACACCCATGAAGCCAAACAAAAGAAGGAGGGGTAGAGAATGGTGGTGTTTCTCTTAGCTTCCAACGTTCAGAAAATATTATTCAGTTTTTTTAAGAGCGCAAGTCTTCATGGAATGACACCAAAGCGTGGGTTAGGCACGTTTGGTCCTTTTACCGACTTGAAGGGCCAATTCCCTGTCGATCTTGAGGGATATGTCAAGCGCTTTAACAGAGTGTGTTAAAGCTCCACTGCCAAAAAACAAAAACAACACGTTCATTCGAAGTTGGAACACACATCCATCCATATAGAAATTCTCATCAGACAGACATATTCAGATTGACAAAACCTGCTGATGAATGTAACTCCGCTCGCTCCAATCTCGTGTACTGTTTCAAGAGTAACGTTACCCGACGCCTGTTCAGCCCAAACCAGATTTAACTCAAGATCAGCACTGGACCACCGCCCATTTATCAATCTTCTAAAACACCAACAACTGAACAGAGTGTTTTTTAAGGATAAGGATGTAAAACTAAAGCCTTACTCACCTCCGTCTCAAATCTGCCGTTAATCAACTCAACCGCTTCTTTAAGCATTGAGACATCGACGTCTCCATTCTCTAATGGTATGACCATATTGTCCAGCATGATTCTGGTCAACCCTGTATTGGAATGAGATGCATACCCTAATACCTCCTTCACTTCCTCAAGTGTCCGTGTCTCCACCTTTAAGATATATATAACAAGAAAAAAAGAGATGACTTTGCAGATATCATGGCCATGGTTCCAGTGTGTCATTACCAAAAACGAAATGCTTGGCGCTTTACCTCAACATCCATTTGCAGATTGTTTTGCTGTAAATACTCGTCTACTGATCTAATGGCATTTACTATGCCTCCAGCAGCTGATATATGATTATCCTTTATCATCACCATGTCAAATAAACCCATCCTATGATTCCTTCCTCCACCAATCAGCACCTAAGCTAACAAAAAACTTCACATGTCTCAGAAAATAAACACCACAAAAGGAGACTTGGGATGGATCGAGAATGCCCGCAACTGAGGAAAAAGGTGCAACCAAGTCTAGCCATTCATTGGGATCAGTAGCATATAAACACTACCCTTTGGTGTTTGGGTAAGAAAGAGACATAAACAATTGCAAGGAAGAAGTGTAGAACAAACCGCCCATTTGTCCACCAAACGCAAACCAGGAGCTGTTTTTCTCGTCTCCAGCATAAGTGCAGGGTATGCTGCATCTGCCATTGCCTGCATTAAGGAATAAGCTAAATAATCGCTAGCAAAATTTCAAAGGAAGATCAACAGATCCATCACCAAAAAAAAAATTCGTGAATTGTGAAAACCTTCCTAATCTATTACAAAAAGATCAACAAATGCATCTTAATCTATACCAAACTCTATAAAGAAACAAAAGACTATTTGACCAGACATAACATACAGAATAATAAAGTGAGAAACTTTGTAATCTGTACTAACAAAATTAACAAATGCATGGGAAGACATATAGGACAAAAATCAATTAGTCCTCCTCACAAACAACACAGAGTATCAGGAAGTAAACTTGCTAGCCTATACTAAAACAGTCTTCATTAGGATTGAAGGTATCTGTTACCACACGGTAATATATATATATATATATATATATATATATATATATATATATAACCACCCCCTATCATTTTATTATACTTCAGAAACTGGGGGAATAAGAGACACCTTAGTCAGGGTGGCGATTCCACTCATCCTTTGCATAAAGTTCAACACAACCCTTTCAGCCACAACAATCTTATGTGCATTTCCTGCACATGGTGAAACCAACGAGTAAATGCCGAATTTCAGAGCATAACTTCTTTCCTTCCCAAGATTACTAAAAGATCAGGGTGAAAAGCTTGAGCAGACCAGTAACTTTCCCAAACTGCAGTCCTTTATGAACATAATCCCCATCCTTTCGAGTCCACTCAACCTGAGATCAAAGACATTCCTAAATAATTTCAGCAAAGAAGCAAGAACAAACGAAATTAAAAGGGCAAAAGCCACTTGTTTCTCATTTCTAGCTCCATAGCCCTTCCTGGCCGAGCGCCGAGAAGATTTAAAAACAGACTTCTGATAAACACAGAGCAATGATGCTTCTGGTAACGATCCCTTACTTCATCTGTAAAGAGCTTATCTGTTGAACTGTTGTTGTAAATACAGATGTATTCCGTGTAGATTTCATATTCCTATCAAAGAACAGAAGAAAATGAAAAGCCTTAATTATCTTAACCCACCTTCAATGACGGATCAACCTCTTCGAAAATCATGTCTGCAAGAGCAATTCCAGCAACAATACCATCCTCCTTCGCCAAGAAATAAGCTTCCACTTCCGTGTCAGGTGGTATCGTCGCCATACATGTCACATCTCCTGCACTCAATCCAGTTTCACCAACTCAATTTTAAAGGTGAAGAACGAATTGAACAAAAGTCACAGAGATTGTGATAGTTAGGTAGAAAACAAATGATCATAGCCTCTAAATTCCGCACATGTTACATCCCCCAGCACTCAAAAACCCGACGAAGACAAAAAAGTAGATTAAACTGGAAGCTGATGAGGATCAGAACCTCTATCGCCAGCATCTTCAGCTAGAGCTAATTTGATAGCGCCCTTGAGATCGTAATTAGGATGAGAAGGAGGCTTTATCGCCATGGAATCGTTCGCTACCCCAGTGCTCTGAATAAGAGCTGCAGACGTTTTCACGAAGCTCCTGCAAAGCAAAGGAAGATTGAGGTAGGGTTTTGTCGATAAACAGGATAAGGAGAAACAAAGGAGGGTGCTTTGAGCGAGGATCATAAAAAGGCTAAAGGAGGAACCTTTGAATGGGGTAAAGCTGAGGCGACAGCAAAGGAGAGACAGAAACCATGGAAGACATAGTTGAAGTCGCTTCTCTGTTTCTGGGGGAATAAAGGGACAACTACGGTCTTTTTTTTTTAATTAAACCGTGACCCGGTACTCAGAAGTCAGAACCGGCACTTGAGTTGGATAGATAAACCAGGCCCAAAAAAAAAAAACAAATCTGGCCGAACCGGCACTTTGAATTACTTTGGAAAAACAAAATAATTCTCAACTAGCTAGCTTACGTGCGTACACGGCCCATTAATTGAACTTTATTTCAGTAAACGCGTGGGCTAAATTAAAATATTATTTATTGAAAATGATGTAAGCCCATTATAGTAGGCCCATGTTTCTCCTTCTATATACCTCCAAGTTTTCCATTGCTGAACGAAGAGTCTATGGCCCATACCTAAAAACCAACAAAACAGCAAAAGAAAGGCCATCAGTTGGTCTAAAGGGTCTTTTTGTCCAAGTGGGTGATGAGACGCTTCATCTGAAACCTCCAGAATCCGAAATATGCCAGAGCCAGCCCAAGCAGCACGTACAGCCACACGCCCTCCTCCTCCGTCCAAACCTCCTCTATCCCGAACCACTCCCGGCTCTGATTCCCCGTCATGCCCTCCGTCACCCTCCCATATAACACATACACCCTCTCCTCCTCCCCCGCCGTCACCACGGCCGTCGCCATCCCATCCCTCTCCACCTCTCTCTCCTCGTACACAACTCCTCCGCTCCAACTGTCATCGCTCTTCACAAACCACACCTTCTCCTGCGACACCACCATCACCACCCCATCCCCCCTCAACGCCATTCCGTCCGCCGCCGTCAGCTCTCCCTTCACTCCCACCACCCTCGCCCTCCCCTCGTCTTCCTCCACCCTGAACATCTTCCCTGTGTTGCTCTGCACCACCAGCAGATATCCTCTGCTCACGTATACTATTCCGTTTAGCCCGCAATCGGCGTACACTGCGTCCCTCTCTGCTGTCATCGGTTGCGATGTGAATAACGGTGATCTCGAGAAGATCGACGCTCCGCCTTCTCTATCCACCTTCCATATGAAGTTTTTTCCTGAATTCGTGACGTAAGCGTTGCCTCTGAAGTCCACTGTCACGTCGTTCGCGACATCCCGCCCCTCGCCGGGGATAGTAGGGAGGGGAGAGAGGAAGATGCGACGACCTCCGTCGCCGCTGCGATGGAGATCATACGCCGCGAGGGCGTTGAAGGACGGCAGAGGCGGCGCGGAGTGGATGACAGCGAGTAGACGGCCGCGAGCGGAGTCGATTGCCAGGCCGAGGATGGTGGCGTTCTCCGGCAGATCTGGATCTGAGATTAGGGTTTGAACGACGCCGGCGTCGGAGACGGAGTGTATGGTACGGTGGTGGAGTGAGCCGACGATGAAGTGGTTGCCGGATGGATCCCAGGTCAGGCCCTCCGGGTAGAGGCCAGGCGACCGGAAATTGATGACGTGGCGCTTTCTGGCGGAGGAAGGGGTGGGAAGGAAGCCCACCAGGACGAAGAGGAAAACGGAGAGGATGGATTCAGAGGAAGGCATGTTCGATTTGCCGATTTGAAATCCGAGAGGAATACATAAATAAATAGGGAATCAGAAGATGAAGCTTTTCTTGCAAGTCGGTTCATGGATTTGTATTCAAAAGGTGTCGTCCATTAATTATTTAATTATTGATGATGATGTGAAAGTGTGTTGTTATGGGCCTAATTAACTTTATGGTAGACGGATGGGCTGAACATAGTATTATGGGCCTGTGATGTTTGATAATTAGTTGGGCCAACTCTTTTACTGTTATACCGACCCTGCAACAGGACCCTTTTCATAACACATGGGCCTGTTTTATCTGTTTGTGCCCGTTCAATTAGCCATCCATTTATGTTACGAAAACTATAAAACCTCTCATCCATCTTATCCATTCAACTACGTGTATTGAGAGATATGTTTTATATATATATATATATATATAAGGTGAATCTATATTGATAAAAAGGTTATACAAAATATCCCGTCTAAGCCGTACAAAACCGGATAACCATGTCAAAAATAGTCAAAAGATAAGTAGAGTAAGATTGTCGAGAGTTATGTTATATACATACATAAATACATTTGTATATTTTGTAATTTGGTTTTAAGCCATCTCTGTGAAATCCTTCACAGCGATTAATACGACTCATGCATTTCATAATGAATAAAAAGGATAGTAAAAACAAGATGCATGGGCCACGAATTTGTAACCAATAATTGTTCTATGTATTGGATATTTGTCCCTCTCGTCAAATTTAACCGTAATTGGAATCGGCATTACGTTAATTTATACTTAATACTAGCTAGCCTTTGTTTTTCATTTTCCTATCATTCTTCGATTATGTGAATTGGCATGCGATCTATTATGTTCTACGGTGCACCCCAATACATATATCAATAAGAATAATATAATGATGTATATAAAGAGAGAGATCCTCTAACGTCTTTCTTAATTTCTTTAATTACTTTGATGTTTAGAGAATTTGTTATATCTTTACGAAATTTGCAATTGCCATTGTGATACTATTTGCGATACAAAGCATTATGGGTATCCACGTGTGTCAAGGTCCACCACCACCAATGAACTGACACCACGTGGACAACGAGACCGTACAAAGCAGCGAAACGACATGCTGTCCATGCAATCCCCCTGCTGCCCTCGCGTTCCATCTTCTGTCGTGTTGTTTCATTGGACCGTATTATTTGTCGCTGCTTCTTTGGATGTTTGGATCATTCAATTATAAAAACAAATTAATGATGATAAATAGAGTCATGATGTTACAAACACGAATAGTTTTTCGGTAAATATACGGTATTATAATATTGGAATAATTAGATATGAAATGAAACGAAATAGAAAAATACCGGTAGCTAGGGTCTCGTTTTGTTTTTCTCAGATTGTTGTTTTACCGATACATCATATTAATTTGTGCGTACGTATATACGAAGATGTTACTAATCTACACACACATACATACGATTCAGACCGCTTTTAATATCCGGTGCTGCATGAAAATATCTTACCTCATGGTTGCCACTGCTTGTATTTTTTATTTTGTAACGGATATAACGTATCAATTATTTCGATTAGACGGGTGAGCGGGAAACTTGAACAAAAGCATATAACAATGGTGTTGGTCCAAAACATTGAATGTGGACGAGTATCGAATAAATAGTTGATTATGATGTACATGATTGACCAGATAACTGGATTTATGCATTATTTTCATTTTGAAATCAAGATCAATACTACTAAATGAAGCGCATGTGCATCGATATAACGAACGTGTCTCTGTAATTGGGTCATTTGGTTTTCTACGTAAGATTTACCCATATTTCATGCAGGGATCGATGAAATTAAATTATCCAGAAAGGGGTTTGTAATTGTTTTGCCCTAAATAAAAAAAAAACAACCACAAATCCTTTTCCAACGAAATTATATCAGACGGGGCCTTTAGATAACAAGATCCACTTGTTTGGAAACCCGGACGAAATGAAATATCGAATGTCGAAGCGCGTGGATTCAACAGAGATCTTCACCGATACCTAGAAGAAAAGTTTCAAGTACCAAGACTTGACTGTCTTTCATTAGTTCCATTAAATCATATTTTACGTATAATAAATACTCTCTCCATTTCAAACTATTCGAACATTTAAAAAAAAAAAAAGTCAGATATATATTTATTTAATATTTTTATTCATATATTTTTTTTATGATTTCAATTAATGAAAGTCATCTTTCTCTTAAATATTCAGTTTTTGATATTAATGTTTACGACAAACAATTAGTCAAGAGGCAAACTCAAATTTGAAAAAAAAATTGCTTAGAGGTAAAAAAAAAAAGAGATAAAAAAATCTATGAAAAAAATGCAGAAATATGATCCGAAATATAAAAAAAAAAATTGGCGAGAAGATGAAAAAAATGAAAAACGAAAAATAATAATAATTAAAATATAATTACAAAAATGAAAAACAAACAATAATAATAATTAAAATATAATTACTATTCATTAAATTTTGATGATAAAAACAATGTTATCATTAATAATTTATTAGAATTTGGTAGGGATAAAATGAGAAATTATATAAATATTTTGTAGCATGAAAAATAATCTAAAATGTCAGATATTGTAAAACGGAAGTATAACAATAAACTGAATAAGAGGTTAATAATAACAATGATGATGATGATGATGATGATTATAATAAAAATAATAATAGTAGTAGTAGATCGTCCCTTTGGTAGCGTAAAGCAGAAACTACTGTCTCATGCATCGCTTTCGGACCAAGGGTGCATGTTGGTCTCCCCTGTATTTGCTTTCATCCATCCTTCATGATACATACACACACTCACACACACACATATCGAGACAGAGACCATGTAAATTCGCCGAAAAGGAAGAATTAGTCTAATTAAATAGGCATGTGAATTAATATGGTGCTGCATAGTGTTGGGGTGAGAGAGGGGTGCCTTCTTTTGGATTCTGATTATTTTATTTACACACACAGTTTCTTCGGAGAGCAGTAAAAAAACTTATTAAAGCATAAGAGCATGACCGCATATTGTTCATCGTCAAAGATGACGTTTTCACAAACGAAAAGAAAATCGATTACGTTTTATAAAAACAAATAAGTTATCAAATAAACAACTCAAATGCTTAACCAATCAAGATCTACAAGAAAAGATGGTCTATAATATAAAGAAAGCTTATCTTTTTAGTTTTGGCGAGGGCAAGATCCTTACATCATGGGATCTTCTTCGCAAAATCCTAAGCAATTTTGTTGTGTTCCAAAAACATTGGAACACAACAAAACCACATCTCCCACCTTTTCTTCTAGGAATGAGAAAAATCCGTATTCCGAGGCGTTGAGTTGAAACCAGTTGGATGCTTCACGTAGTTCTCCCTCGATCGGTCATATATACGAATTCACAAACCAATAAGGATATAGTAGACGAGAGTGATGGGTAAGGCTATTAGCATCCCAAATATGACCCTGCACACACACATACACATATATATATATATATATATATATATATATATATATTGTCACAACCATATCGTATTTTTGGAAAATTATGTATTTTTTTAAAAATAAGTGTAAGTCAGTTTTGATAATAATGATTAATGAGAATTCAAACTTACGCGGTGCTGAGAATCGCGGGATGCACGTTATATTCTTTGGCGAAGACAAAGGGAACAATTCCTTGAGGTAATGCGGCCTACGCAATCCACCAAACACCAACCGAAATTCATACGACATATATATATATATATATATATATGTAATGATGGTTTCATATACAGCGACGATAGTGTATCTAGTCATATCATATATAGTCATTGATAAGAATGAAAAATTAACAGCAATGTAGAAAATCAAAGAAGAGTATATATCTATCAATATAAAGATACCTGGACAATGGCAACACGAAAGAGATCGCCACGCAAGCCAACGGAGATGGAAGCAACGGCCATGACAGCAGGGCCTGTGAGGAATCTGACTGCCATTGCAAAGGTGGCCACGGAGTTCCCACAAGCGATGATCTTTGGTTGGAGAGCCATGAACAAACCTTTCCCCACATCCATCCATCAATCATAAGTGACTTGAATCAAATCCATAGTTACCAGACGCCACAAGTAATTACGAAGAGCCACGAAAATCACTGAGCCTCTCTGTGGTTTGGTAAAGACCTTCACTTTTTTTTCTTTCTTTTTAAAAGTAAAAAGAGATAGAAGCCGTACAATTTTAAAGTGGCAGAACCATTCATTTCATGTATGAATTCTTTTTTTATAAATGATGTTTCTGCGTGTTTAATTGTAAAAATTTGGTTCTCTTTATACCTAAGCTGAACATAGCCATTCCAAGGCCAGCATCTGAGAGTATAGAGATGGATTTCTCTATTATTTTCGGCATCGCCACGTGCCACCTGCACCCCCAACCCCGTCATCACCATAACAACCTCGTATATTATTATTATTATTATTTCAGAAACTATATATACGTCATCTTATCCGAAATCAAGTAGGTTATATATATCAAATGATTGGACTGACCGGAAAGCAACGAGAGCCCAGATGAGGCCGATGAGGCTGGAGTAGGTGTTTGGGTTCCTGATCAGCTTCCTCCACACCATTATCATTATCAAACGTGTCATCACGCTCGCCGACGGCATATTTTTTCCACCTCCTCCCTCCTTCGGGTGTAGCTCCGCCGTCGAGCTCGAACCCACTTTGTTCAGCCCCGCCGTCTTCTCCCTCTCTTCTTCGTCATCTCCGCTCCCGGCGAAGCTAAACTCGTCGACACCGGCTGAGAACTCGGCGGGAAAATAGGAAAGGCGAATTAACAATCAAATGGAAACTCGAAACATTAATTAAACTATCCATGATGAGATTAATTAATTTTTTTAAACCTTTGGTTTCCCCATTTAGGGGTTGATCGGAGACGAGCATCCGAATCTCTTTGGCACCCTGATCAGACCTTTCGGATTGCTCAATGGTGGTGAGCTCAGCACCTCCGCCTCCACTTCCAAACACGTCAGAGACCGGCGAAGCGCTTGAGTTCCAGACGAACATGTGAAGCTCCTTGGCGTCGTGGCTCGCTTTGCTACTATGGTCCCTGTTTTGGCTATTATCCTGCTGCTGGGTCTCTTTAGGGTTTTTGTTCGATTTGTTCGGACCAGCCGCGCCGGAGGAGAACTCCGGGTTCGGAGCCGGGTACGATCCGGGAACAGAACTGTTCGTGTACAACCCAAACCGCGGGGAAGGGATGACGGCATTGCTCTCTTCGAAATTCGAGGGCCGTGGGGTCGGACCGCGCGAGGATTGAACAGAGTAAATATCCGCAGGGCCAAAATTGGAGAGCCTCCCGCCGGGAAATCCCATCACAGCGTAGAAATCTGAATGGTTGAAATTGGAACCTCTCGGAGTCGAGCTGAGGCTGTATATCTCGGCGCCGGTGAGGTTCGACGGCCGCGGGGTCATCAACGATCGACGGGATGCGTTTGATTTTCTCACGGTGACGTGAAGCTTCCCATCGCGGCCGATCTCGGCGTCCGTCTCCAGGAAATCGTGGCCGTCCAGGGAAACGACGTCGGAATCGACCTTGAAGGAGATAATCGACGCCGCCGTCTCAGGGAACTGCTCCATGATCAGAATCTTCGCGCCACGATACTCAAACAGGAAGAGAAGCAGAGTATACCAAATGATACACTGAAGAACCACCACCTGAACCATGAGCGAGCCGGAGTAGGGACCGTACATGGCGATCAACAAGGGAATCCCCATGACGAGAGTGTTCGGAAGCGTGCTGAGAGAGAAGATGGTGATCATCCACTCCAAGCTCCCGTTCTTTGTCAGATTGGCCCAGAGGCAGAGCACAACCAGCATGATGATCTTCTGGAGCGTGTCGGCGGCGATGAAGCGGAGATTCATGGCGTAGGGGTTGTTGGTGGAGATGAAGTGGAAGGAAAGGAGAGGAACAGCGAAGATGGCGACGAATCGGTTGATACCGGAGCACTGGTCCGGCGAGAAGATCTTCCACCACCGCACGGAGCCGTACGCCAGAATCATCGCGACGTACAAAGGCACTACCGCGGTGAGAACGGTGTAGAGATCGTGCCACGAAATCATTTTAGGTTGCCGGAAAATTTTAGCAGAGAGGGAAAGGGTTGAAGGTGGGAGAGGGTTGCTTGGGTTTTAGGGAGAGGCTATGGTGAGAGTGGCATATGATGGAAAATTAGAAGAAGGAGAGAGGGCAATTTCGGGAGACGGTGATAACCGTTATTGTACGACGTACACTTTTAGAAGAAGGCGTAACTTGGTATGTCCATATATATGCATGGGAGGACTGCCGGATTGTGATGAAAAATAATTATGTATTTAATTTTTATGAAAAACAATGTTCGACTATGGAAACAAGTGAATTGCTTTTTATCTTTTTTCTCTCAAGGAATAATAATGTTTAGTAACAACTCAATTTATTTACCAATATAATATCTAAACGTCAAACTATGTGCTTGCTTTTTTTTAACAAGGAAAAGGAAAATTATAGTTGTAAAAATACGAGTCATTGAATAAGGAGAAGGGGGACACGTGGCGGTGGGCGTTCCGGCGAGGACGTGGACGGTTTTTAGATTTGCTCGCAGAATATGCCTTACAAATCGTGCGATCGGTCGCATTTCTAAGTTCATTTGATTGCGAGCCGTCACTCCAAGCGGAGAGGTTTCCAAACCACGCAAAAAATTATTTACATATATATATATATATATATATATATATATATATGAATTTAGGAATAGAATTTTAATATAAAAATGTATATTTATGTATAGAGAAGAAAATATAGATCGGTATCTGTCAAACAGGAGAGATTGTAGTTTAGGTGAAATGATTGGAAAAGACTATATAGTAAACTTATAATTAAGAAACATTATATTATAAGTCGATACATAATATATATTATATTCATTCGAGGGAAATATGTGTGACTAAGTACTGGTGTTAGGTCGCAGCACTGTTCATTGCGTTGAATCTTTGACCTATAAATCTGTAGGAAAAAAATAACTTACATAATTATCTTACGTTCAATTTTTTCCTTCTTACTAGTAACCGAACTCATGCCCTTTTGCCATCCTTTTTCAAAAAATAGAATAGAAATGCGGCAAGGAAAATCCAGCTGAATTATTAACATGCCCTGATATTTATTTATTAAAATTTATATTTTAAAGAAGGGCAAATGAGATAATGCACCAAAGGTAAGTGTCCACGTGTCGACATGCCCATACGTGAGGAGCTTTGGTCGTTGTCTATGACTTATGGTCTTCGGTCAGTCTCAGGTCAGGATAAGTTCACCACGTTACAAGTGCAGCCTTATCAAAGCATGTCGGCCCATTGGGCCCATCTCTTCCACCCACTTGGGTCTTTGGATTCTAACACTGTTAACATTAATATTGGTTTTGCCCGTCAATGCGCAAGTCATCTTTATGTTGTGGTCTTGTGGTCTTTCTTATGAGAGGGAGGAAGAGGGAATAATATACGTTTAAAAACATAAAACCTACTATTACATAATACTGGACAAAAACTATTCACATGCTCTCGAATCGTACCTTTTGTTGTTTTTACCGATGAAAAGCCAAAAATAAACAATCATTCATAGGGTTTAGCACACTGAATGCATCAATAAAGCAAATCAAGACTAGCTAATACGCACGTGTCATATACTAATGGCATTAATTAATAATATCGACACGAAAGGTAGAAGGCTCCTCCGTCAACATTGGCAGTTAATATATTGTGTTGAATCAAATGAAAACCGTGGACGATCATGAGAATTTGAGATCAACGGAAGGCAAATTAATTAGAATGAATGAAGGACCGACCTTTTTGGGCCATGGAAGTGCAAGCCACATTTGTTGTAGGCAAAAGGTGTGGGGTTTCTATGACTTTGATATTCAATATATAACCAAAGAAGAACGGGTAACATTCCATTTGTTGACAACATAGATCAAAAGTAGCTGCCCAATCGCCAAAGTGAGAACGATCATCTCTAATTAGTATTTTCTACCTGATAATCATAATAATAATAAACACTTGTAAATATCTTGAATAAAAGTATATACAAAGGTATAATGGCAGACCCCTATATAATGAAAGTCGCTCAGGCCGTGTTTTTTGGAACAGAGGAGGAGGTGGTGGAGACGCGCTGGCAGCGAGGGCACATGGAGGAAGAGGCGGAGGCTGACGTGGACGGGACAACGACCTTCATCGCCCTGAGCTCATCCACTTCGCTCTGCAGCCTCCGGTTCTGTTCCGTCAACGACCCAAACCATCTCTTCAGGTACTCGCACTCCATCTCCGTCTGCTTTAACTTGCTCCTGCACCCCCACCCTTCTCATTCATGTCTTTTTCATGCAGCCAATTGCAACACATTTTATAACACTGTGCATGCGTAATGTTCTTTAATAATATCCAAGTAATCAACATGCATGCATGCCCGGTGTTCAATTTCCAATATAGAGTTTTCAGCATAGGCTACTTGTTTGACGATGGAACTCCCAATATTCAAATTGTATAATAAAACAACTACATAATAAGACAAAATAGATAGCAATTGCATGGGCGGTCCAATGAATCATGAGTCAAAAGCCATTGATTGGTGAGAATATAGAAGCACACGAGGCAGAAGGAAAACACGTACGATTATGTAGTTTCCATCGACAATATATTTAAAATACAAATTGATATTAAACAATGTGTGTATGTATAGTTTTATTTTGGGTAACCGTTTTAAGAAGCTGACCTCATGCAGCTTTTGCCACCTGTTCCATATAATATTTCTTTGTTGATAATGTCATTGTTATACTAATTAATAAATAAAAAAGTTATAGTAATATCATATAATGCACACATTGTGGTCTTTTTCGGGGGGAAAATGTCTAATATGTTAGCCGATCATAATTAATTATGAAATAAGATAAAACTACGAAACCCATCGCACACATGTATGCACAGACACACATATACATACGCCTACTTTGCTCATATATGTATATATAACATATCGGTTTATTGGTCTTAATTAGCGTTTAATTTGTTTAATCAACTGCAACTTTCGTGTACCCATATATTTGTTAACAATGATTGACACACCACCACCTATGTGTATGTATACACAAATATATAATCATTTGCAAAAAGTGATCACGTGTATATATATATACACACAATGCTTTTGTCACCTACAAGAAATGATTAGTTTTTTTTTCCCTTGAGGTCGGCAAGCTTCCTTTATTAAATCTCTAACATAACTATAATATCTCTTATACATGCGTATGGATGTGTTATGCACATGAGCCATGCATGCAAAGCTTCCTCCATTTAAATCCGACTATGCTAATTTTTTTGCAGTTTTTTTAATCCGCCATGAGAAACACAAGCTATTCATCCGACTAACACCCCCCCCACTTCATCCGCAAGTGTTTATATATATACATATATGCATGCATGTATGTATCATATATATGCGAAGCTTTGAGGTGTTGACAGTCACGTCCATGCGAGTGTGTTAGATTGGTAAATGTTCACAAAAATATATTTTTAAAACCACACTGATTCTAATTACATATGGGAAAATTAAGCACGTGTCCTTCGATCATAATTGGCGGCTCCAACAAATGCTGGTGTCACTAGTGAAAATCACCATGCATGATCCATGCGCTATAAATTCACACACATGCATGCATGCACATCATCTTGAACATGAATACGCGCGCGCGCGCATATATTCAATATTACCAAAAAATGCTGAGACTCAAGTAAAAAGATTTAAATCTGTTTTAGATGTTTTTATTTTTGTTAAGTATATATACAGTCTTTTTTGTTTACATATAATAAGCGGTCTTAATTTAGACGATGTCTTTACTTCCGTCACTAGTTTGATAGTTGAGATATTTTTATTTTTGTTAGATTTTACATAACTTAACGGTCTTAATTTATATAACGTTTTTACTTCCTGCACAAGTTTGATACTTTATTCCCTATATATATGTTTCGAACAAAAAATATAAACATATATTCCCTAGCATAGTTGTATTAATCAATGTTCCAGAATTTACGGTTAATAGGCGACAATGCATTTGAAAAATATTAGTAGGAGGAGGGATATATATATATATATATATATATATATGAAAAGGACCACATTTACTTTACAAGGGTATGACTTATGTTAGGGCCGGGGGTGGGTCGAATACGATTCAGATTTCATATGCTTTGTTTATATTCTGTCAACGTTAATGATGTGTGAAATCTCGTTAATCCTCAACCACCCGCAGAATACTACTAATCACATATATATTAACCGTTATTAAATATAAGAAAGAAAGAAAGTGGAACCTGGCTCTTCGGTTTTGGAACCAAACCTCAATTTGTCTCGGCCTCAGCATCAACTGTTTTGCTAGTTCATCCTTTTGCTTCTATATATACATACATCACAAAAATTTCATGAAATGACAAACTATTTTTGGTATAAATGTAAACGGCAAATATCAAGCTAGCAGTTAAACACATTTGTATTGTTATAACGAAGCTTCCAGGTTAAATATATGTTGTAATTAAGCATATTATACAATATGCTTGTGCATGGACCCGTTCATCCATAAAATCAAGTGGATCCGTTGGTTAATTAAGGAAAAAAAGAAGCAAGAGTAGATGAATGATTACGGGATTGAGGGTGTGGTTTTGTCTGAAGCTGTCCTCGAGAAGGCGAGACTGTTCTCTGGTGAGACGGAGTTTCTTACGCGGAGGCACGACAACGTCGTTCCCATGGCTGACGAATTCGTCGTCTTCTCCGTCAATATCTCCGCCGTCTTCCGACAAAGGGACTTGGTTTATGTCGAGGTTCAACTGCTCTTTCCCTCCGCTTCTGTCCTCTGAACCTTCCATTTATCACAGTTTTGTTTCATTTACTATCTGATCTTTTTATCAAACCTACATACGACATATATGTCCAGAAAGACAACACAACAGAAAAAACTATATGTTTTTTTTATTATTATTAAAAACAACATACGACTAGACTGAGAATCGTTAGATTTTGATCTTATCATAGAATAACAAAATTATATATTTCCATATATATCCGTTCTTGTGTATATTATCACACAAGCCATCATGTGTACTGCCTATATAAAGGCAGACGTGTATATATATATAGCTTTTACCTGAAGGAGGTGAGGAAGAGAAGCCTGGAACGGAGATCGTAAGGTCCAAGTTTGAAGAGTTTTCAGGCAAAATCGCCATTAGGGTTATATCAAGAAGAAGAAGAAGAAGAAGAAGAAGGAAGAAGAAGGTAAAGTTTTGAGAGAAGACTTATAATCAATGACTCAAAAGATAAAGAGACAAACTTGGAACCGTGTTGATGGAATAATAAGAAAATGTTTTGTGCCGATGACGGGTTCATGTCTATAAATATATACATACGTACACACGCGCATGCGTATCATTATTACATATTATATATTTGTATATGAATGTATCATATAATATTAGGGAAATAAATATAAAATATTATTCAAACAAATGAAAATGTATTTCTTATTTGACAAAAAAAACTGTGTTTCCTAGGAGAAAAAAATAATACTAGTGTATACACATAAATCCGTAAATAAATAATTCTTTCATTCACATCCCACCGAGAAAAGAGGAATAAAACAATAAAATTTATGTATCAAATAGTAATCTAAAAATTATTTTACAATATATATTATATATATTCATAAAACAATTATACATATATGTATTGTCGTAAGAGTCATCCTTAATTTAACATTTTTCTGAATACTTTTTTTTCCAAAATGAAACGACCATAAATGCAGTCAGAAAAGGGGCTATTGACCGAAGACATCTGGTCAAAAGAGTGTAAAACCGTCCGATGATTGACACGTGTCAGACATTTCCGATCAGTGGTATATAAATACTGACTGTACGTGTGCCGTCGTGTATGGCTTTCTAATGGCGTATCTGATTAAGTGCCTTTTGTTGGAAGACTGAAATATCAACTCAACATAATATATTTATACTCCCTCTATTTTCATATAATTATGTTTCATAAGCCTTTTCACACATTAAAGATCATGATTAAGAGTTCTAAAACTACATTTAACTACTATATCTATTTTTTTTTTCTAGAATTGTGTTATATTCGTTCGCTTTGCAGTTTTTACTTTTTTAAAAAAAAGTTGCATTAAAACTATAAAACGGTGTTTTAAAATAAAAACAAAATTTTTCGAACGATAATGATTTGATTATATAGAATTAATATCTGTCATATATACATATATATATATATATGTATGTATAATTCTGCTTGCTGACTCGAGGTCTAAAAGGTAAGGTTTGTGAAATGATTGGAACACTAGGCTCGCAACCCCACATCCCTATATGTATATATATATATATATAATGTTTTGTGGCTAATTTTGACATATATTGTTTATTGTTTATGCTGTCAAGTGTCAAGGAGTGTTATATGTTTATCCTCGAATACGATTTTGATTACATGAGAGATCACTTAATCTAATTACGATAAAGTTTGTTTTAAAATATGAACTTGGCATTTCACAGGACAAGTGTAAGGCTCCCCATATCTACCTCATTGAAAGCCTAACTTTGAGGATGACTGAAAAATTGAACACCAAAATACAATCGGAAAAATAAAATAAATAAGTAAAATGAGAGGAATTTAGGCCATAAATGCAATTTTACAGGTAGAGTTAATACAATAAATTTGAAAATGGTAACGCGTCGGTCATCATATATAACATTAAATGAAAATTCCATATCTGTAACTATTCCGGGGCATTTATAACATCATAAGACTTCCTGTTGACTAGTCGTAGAGGGAAAAAAACATGAACGTTTTCGGACAGAATTTAATGTGCAGTGTGTTACCACTTACCATAAGCATTAATTTCGTTTTTTTAGAACAAATCATAAGGAGCATTGATTTTTGTAATTTGCATGAATCGGATATTATGAAAAACATGTGATCACAGCGGTTCCTTTGAATGAAGGGCTCCTCTTCCATTGATCCTATAACGTACAACTTATCTCATCATCATGTAATGCTATAAATGCACGATTATCACTTCTATGACTCATTAATGCCATCTCTCATCAGATTTCTATATAACATTATGTTGTTCTTCATTTGTTTTGAAGAGCTAATCCATTTTACACATGAAAACAATCAGGTTGCTCTATAGATTCAAAATGTTATCAGATATTTGGTACATGTAAATAAACAAACATTAGGCACGTTATTAGTTAGCGTGAACCGGAGGACATAGACTATATAGCATGGTTTTGGCGTGATTCTGATGTGTTCAGTTATTGGCCGCACAAAGTAATCCTTAATATTATTTTTCATGGGATAGAGAAATGAAAGCAATCCCCAATTTGAACAAACAGCTTTTTGTTACTCGGGAAGAGCATATCATTCGTTTCGGGACGTACGCAGATTTATCTCCCGACACATCCGTCTTCCCAAGTCAATAAAGTATTATCCCTTGTCTCTTACCCATCTCCTTTGTGGATCCATCTATTAATATATATATATACACACACACACACATCCTACTAATCATAAGGTTCAATTAAACAGAAAACATCCACAAAAAGACACTGCTAATCAAATTATAATGTGTACCCCATGCAGTTAATTAAAGCCGCATAGTTACAAGGAATGGCTTTTGGTATTGCAGACATCAAATTACAACAAGAAATGTTCCCAAATGGGATTTAAGGCAATGCTGCTTTTTCCTCCTCATCTATTTTGTTCATTATGTCACTGCCATCTTAATGCAATCCCCCGCGACTCATTAAAACACACCTATAACTCCAAAACTGACATGATCTATATCCCACGTTCCAAGTCTCTCTACCACATGCACATGCACAATGATCAAGGACCCTTGCCACGCACCAAACAAAAGGATTGCTAAAGAGTATATGTCGATGAGATGAGAAACAACGATCAAACACACAAGTTTCAAGGGAGAGAAGTGGGTGGTCAGGTCAGGTGAGGGGACAAAGCTTTGTGATCACTGATTAGGATTACAAGGGAGGGACAAGGAGGTCGGTGGGTCCCGTAGTTGGATGATTGGGTAGGGAACAATGTGTGGGCCACCACTTGTCTCTTTGTCTTCTTCTACTTCCGTGATCTGCTCATTGGTTGCCATATCAACCCATGCTTCGATCTTGAGTGGATGGCATGTGGGTCCACCATCATTACAAAGACAATGAAACACGATCCCTTTCCCATCTCCCGATTATTTCACCATTATCTTCTTCGTTACTTTCTTCGGTCCTGATTTACCATTACGGAAGAATTAGCAAAATATCCTATTTCCATAACTTCTACCCCAACTTTTGTCTTTTACCTTATGAATCTATGCCTCTACATGGAAATATGCAGATCCCCATATTTTACCATACATTTCCATCATCTCCAAGCATCTAGTTCACTGTTACAAAGAAGGACTAATCCAAATATCACAACCTTTTAGATGTTCACGCTACCCAATCTGTGTGATACATGCAGACCATTTGTATTGAAACAGATCGCGATGCAAAATATTGGGCTTTAAACTGCGGGCTAGGTTACTTACATTCATTTGACCTGATGATTGGTCACAAAGCCAATATACTGGATGGAGTCAGGGAAAAACTCAGATGATGACAATATAAGTCCATAGAAGCTTCGGTCTTAAGATTCATAAACTCATTAAAGACACCGAAAGGGGTATGGGCTTAAATCCAGGTTCTGATGAAACACCACATAAAATTGACTTTGACCCAACCCAGGAATACGAACACTAAGAGAATAGTATCATGTCAAGAGGTACAGGATGACAGAAGAGTTTGACATACCGACTAAGGCAAGGCTAGATTTGGACTCTGAAACTTTAGTCGCCAAGAAGAGAAAGTGGCTGTCTCATGCTAAGCTCAGCTTTGAGCCCTGGGAACTTCTCCAGGTCGTGAGAATCCCCTAGAACTTTCTGTAGAAACATAGCAAACCACGTTAAATATAATTCATACTGCAGTTGTCAGTTCTTTAAAACTAGAGTTTTCACTGTAATGGAAATAAACGGTTGGAATGTTTACCAATGCGGCAACATGGGCTTCTTGTAGAATATTCCCGTCTATTTCCAGCCTAGCAACTGGGAACTCGGGCAAGTGTCCAGATTGTTTTTTTCCAAGTAAATCGCCTGGTCCACGCAGAAGGAGGTCTATATTTGCCAAGTAAAACCCATCTGACGATTTCTCCAACACCTTCAACCGGCTTAGGCTGTTGACACTTGACCCTATTAATAAGCATTTCGATTTTCTAGTTCCGCGACCAACCCGCCCTCTGAGTTGGTGTAACTGAGCAATTCCGAATCTTTCAGCATTCATCACAACCATCATGGAGGCATCCGGAACGTCAACTCCTATCTCGATCACCTGTGTGGAGAGCAGTATCTGTGTCTCTCCACATCTGAAATTTCTCAGAGCCTCTTCTTTTTCATCACTCTTCATCTTTCCATGTAATAGTCCACAGCTATACTCTGGAAATCTACCAGATATAGATTCGAGTTCTGCAGAGGCAGCGCGAAGCTGAGGCAGTTGCTCTGATTGTTCAATAACAGGATAAACAAGGTACACTTTCCCTCCAGATTTAAGTTCAACCAGCATCATCTGTCAACAAAAAAATATCATAGGATTTAGAGAACAGCTGCCCTATCTTTTCTTGATTTTTAACAAATCAAAGGCTCGATTGTCAATTCAGTAAAAGACATGTAGTTATTATAAGAGCATTACAGAGTAGACTTTCTCAAAGCCATCTTCATTTCCTTCAAAAATGTATGTTTCAACCGGTATTCTTCCTGGAGGCAAACCAGTAATCTGTAGATACAATGGTTTGTAGTCAATAAAAACAGGTAAAGTTGAACACAGTCAAATGCGCAAGAGCAAGGTTATTAAAACACATACAAAAAGTGAGCTTCAATGGAAGCGCTTTACATACTTGAGTCAACGATATGTCTCCATATAAAGCTAAGGCAAGTGACCTCGGGATAGGGGTGGCTGACATTGCGAGAACATGAGGAGCCATGTGGTAACCAGCTTTAGAAGTTCCATCCAAGTCATCTGAAGTGGTTTTGGATATCATTGAGGTGCCATACAACTGCAGAAGTTAAGGGGTCAGTAAACTTAAGTGTAGGAGATTTATGCTACGAGAAGGAACAATGGCAATAACTAATACGGCCACCAAGAGAAGAAGAACCAACTAAAGTGCAATAAATTCAATACTTTCTTTGGTACATATATCAGAATATCACCAATGAATATTTGATATATAGCTCAATTAGAATAATTCAAGTAATTAATCAATTGAACCTCAATTTCATTTGGAAAAATACACTAGGAAGATGACCTTGCTGTTAAATCTTCCTCTCTGGATGACACCAAACCGGTGCTGTTCGTCAACCACAGCAATACGTAATGCAGAGAACTCTATCTTTTCAGCAATCAGACTATGAGTTCCAATTACAATTGAGATAGCTCCCGTTTGGAGATCCTGTCATGGGTCGTCAGCCATAAGTAACACACATCTATTGCATTTAAACAAATTACTAGTTGCATTGCATGACATGCCTGACGAATCATTCTTGACTGTTTTGCCGAGGTTGAACCTGTAAGCAGCGCAATGGTTGGCTTGTATGCAACCTCCTCCATATTGTCTAGCAGATCCCGCAAGTGCTCATAATGCTGAATGGCAAGCAGTTCTGTGGGGACCATGAACGCTGCCTACATATAAGAAAAACTGAAAAGGTAAACTGCACAACTATTCCCACTATTTGTAAAATTAGGTACGAATCTTCCAAGAAGTTCTTGAAAACAGAATCTGACTTATCCGGGAGATGTGAGTCAAGCACATTCATTTGATGGCATAATATCCTTGAAGGTAGCATAGACATATACTGCAGTAGCTAACCTGGTACCCAGATCCTACGACCTCCATGCATGCCAAGAAAGCAACTACAGTTTTTCCACAACCAACATCACCCTGCAAGGGAAACCGATCTATCGAGCAAGACTCATTTATTAACTTTAACAAGTTTACCATACGAGTTACTGACAATGTGTTGGACATAAATCACATTACACCAAGTTGATAATGATAGACTGGCAACAAGAATGAACAGACAAGATACCTGCAAAAGGCGATTCATTGGAACTGGACGCTTTAGATCCCATATTATTTCTGATACAGCACTTAGCTGGCTAGGGGTAAGGGAATATGGTAGAGCCTTCAGAAAACTCTTGGTGAGAATGGACCATCCTTCCATAAAAACAGAATTTAACACTGGCTTCCTAAACTTATCCAGCAATACATCTTTCTCTATTTTTGTGCCAAGGCCTTGAAGCATTTGGTACAAGCGTCCCAACTGTAAAAAAAAAACATTGCTCTTTATGACGCTTAACAGATGCTAATTTGGATTAACAAAGAGAGCTTAAAAATGGTACATTAGACAGTAATCAACAGTCGCATTCATAAGATTCTATATACCTGTAGGTAAAAGAACTCATCGAATATAAGTCTTTTGCGAGCTAAATCAGCCTCATCTAAATTCTTCGGCTGGTGAATACCGATATATGCCTACATTATGAAGAGAAAAAAAATCGCAGCTTATCTTAAACATATAGTTGAGGAGATACACGATTGTTATGGATTACTGAAAAGATGTTCATAAAGGAACAAGTTTCAACAGAGAAACAATACTTACATTATGAAGAGACGGAAGACCAAAAACTTTAGTGATTTCATAAGGTATAGGATCAATATTGACAGGCAAAACTTGCAAAGCCCTGATAGACACAAAAGCAAACTAAAAGTGAAAAAAAAACAAAAGGTAGATTAATACGATAAGTGCTTACAGGTATGTGTTTAGTGTTTTGTATACGTTCATTGTATCTAGACTATAGTTTGTGTGTGCTTGGAAATGTTGGTTAGTAGTTAGTTTCAACAACCATTTGGTTGTAGTGGAGCTTTAAATACATGTTAGTGTGGATTAGAGGAGGATAGGCAGAATTTTGGGTAAAGGGTTTTGTAAGGGGAGACCTGGGATCCTCTCAATAATCAAAGATCATCCAGGGTTGTATCTCGGTTTTCGGTGATCAGGATTCTTGCTGGAAATCAGCAATCCTGATTCTGAAACTTACCATAATACCACATAAATCTCAGAAGGTGAACTCCAGATGTTCAGATATTTTAATAATATCAAGTTGGTACTTGGTAGCCTTGTTTGTATTTGGAAAAGAATCGCAGCTTATCTTGAAAGCTAGAATGGGGCTAAATCAGGCCGCAAGGTAGTACTTCCAACTACTTTTCAGATTAACACATGCAGGACAAAAGACTTGAGACAACCACCGGTTTTGATTACAGGAAGTAAAAGAGAACTAACCTGGCAATGATATCTCTAAGAAAGTTTGCATTCAGACCTCCTTTCGACGGGTATATGGGATATGGTCTCCCCTGGGTTCGAAGAGATGATTCCTTCTCATCTTTGAGTACATCGATATTGTATTCCCTAATCTCAAAGTGATCTTCTGCATGCAAGGTCTTCACCTAGAATTAAACAAGATAATCATCAACAACTCTTAACTAATATGCTGTTCGTAAAAAGAAAACAAATGAAAAAGAATCAGTGCACAAGGTTTAATCCAGAACTTCTATGCAAGTTGCTGCTTCCAAATCCTATACAAATCACTTTCGATTATTTTAGTGCTTCAAAGCATTTTTTCCATGTTCAAACCAGTTCAAGTTTTAAATTAACCTAAGGGTAAGAGATTATCAAGATTTACATGGTAGCATGTATCAGGAGAAGATGACAATAGCTAAAGAAACTGAAAGAATTACCTTCCCACTAACACATACAAGGTCTCCTGGTCTATGTTTCTCCTGAAGACTTTTGAGAAAAGGTTGATAAACAAAGCGTGTACCACGGAAAAACTTTTTGAGATGCAAATAAATTATTCTCTTTTCTTCGTTGTCAGCATCAAAATTCAGATTCAGATTCACTGGAGTTTTGTCTCTGCCTGAAATCTCAGAACTGACAATAACCTCAAGAAATGAAAATGAAGAACCAGCTCTGACTCCCCTGTACATAGATTTGGAATACAAAGTACGGTTTACATCAGCGTTTGAATCCGAATATATGAATGTGGTATTGCTTAAGGCATAGGCAATGCATATAAGTCCTAGTGAAATATAATACTTAAGAAATTGACATCTTGGCGCATAGTTTTTTTACCTTTTCGCTACATTCTAGATAAACTGTAAAATGGTTACCGATGGGATAGCTTCATAATGGAAGAATAATTCAAGTTGAGAGGATAAACAATGACCTGGAAGACAAGATTTTGCCGACAAATATTAAATACTGTCCATCTCTGATATCAACTTGTGCATTCTGCAAATCTGCATAAGTTCGAGGAAAATGGTGCAACAGTTTCCTCATCTGCATTGAAAGACCGAAAGAAAACTGAAGTAAAGCCTTTCCTCACAACCTAAAAGGAATTTTATTTATATGTATATAAATGCCTACCGTGTGAAAGCCGCAGCTCTCCAGCTGATTATAGTTCCTCTTACTTAATCTAGGTATAAAACTTATCGAACTATCAAGAAAAAACTCGGAGGCAAGACCAGTATGTTGTAGTTCACACTCTTCAATAGACGTGATTACATAGTCAGAATCATCTGATATTGCAACTGCTTCTGGGATCACAGCTTGACCGGCAAGAGGAGAACCAGTTGATTTTTCTTCTTGGTCATCGACATTGTCAAGCTCTGGACACAAGGAAGATAATGGCTCAGAAAGATCGGCCGGATCAATCCACCCTACATGCATGGAGCTGGGAAGAAAACCGTTATTTGCTGGTGAGTTCAAAATGCTCCTTGATTTTGGGAAAGACACGTTGTCGTCGTATAGTTCCACTGGAGGAGAATCGCCAAGAACAATAGAAGGGAACCTCTTACACGCCAATGCAGCATCAGTTTTTAGTTGCTCATCATATTTCTTATCAAAATTTCCTTTCTCAATGAAATCGTCCATGCCATCATACTCCATCAAAGCTGCTACCTACATAATGAGGAGAAAACTCGCGACTTCGCACAGAAATACGAATACAAAATTCAAACAAGAGATCCAGAAGCCTGGAAAATGGATGCAGAGAATAAAATAAATAAATAAGCGAGGTAAAATTACACCTTACTGAGCAACTTTGACTTGTCCGGGACCCTTGCTGCGGCATACTTGTCGACTTCTTCAAGAAAATTCTCAGAAAACTTGTGCTTCGACCGACAAGAGATGTTCCACACATTGGAGAGCAAGAAATGACCCAACCTACAGAATACACCAGATCGATTAGGGTCTTACCCAATCATGTGCACAAGCAATCGGAGAGTATCAGGCAACAGCACCTCGTTTTCCCACTCATCCTACTCCAATATCCTCTCTGGGCATGAAGAATAATCAAGCTTCTCAATCGTCTCCCACCGAAACACTGAGAAAATTTCAGACACATAAAAAAAGGACGAAGCCGAAAGAACACGAGATGGATGCATCATACCATGCCACACGGTTCAACTACGGATAGAGCCACCGCCATCAAGAATCAAATCCCTAGCGCCAGCGGAGCATACCTTGCCTGAAGAATTCCGGCATCGGAACCTGCAAACCCATCGCGTAAACCAAACCACCAAGAATCCCTGATACCGAGTAAAAACAAACGAGAAAAAGGACGGAATCTTGCAAGAAACCCTGAATTGGCAGCACAAAGCCGACGGTTATGTCTTCAAATGTTGGCAGAAGGAGGGGAGGGAAGGTGGAGAGGACTTTGCGACAGAGAGACGTTGGATTCGCCTCAGTGAATCGACCAATACTTCAAACACTCGGGAGCATCATTTCGGCTATTAAAGTCTAATAATATCTTCATTTGAATATTTTTTACCTGATATTCCAGAACCCCGAAATTAATTGTATTACCTACTTTAATAAATTTTTATAGATTAATATTTTGCTTTGAATTCTTCTGCGCAAAGGAGCCCAATGGGCCTGAAATGTAAAGAAATCATGGAATTGGGCCGATTAGGTATAAGAGTAGCCCTAGCTGACGATGTCCTACTATTAAGCCTCCCTCCCCCTCCGCCTCCTCTCTCACACAACACAAGCCGTTTTCATCTGTTTGGCTCTTCCTTGTTCTCCAGCACAGTTTCTCTCGAAATCTTTTGGTTTTGTTGTATAGCATTCGTTCCTCATTTCGTTTTGTCGATTTTCCGGGTAAAAATGGGCCGAGAGGCGAAGAGGGGAGAGCTACGATCTAATGGCTCTGAAAAGACCTGTAGGTTTTCTACGGGGTGCCCTGCCTCATTGGCCCTCCACATCAAGCCGACGATGGCATCATAGTACGGGTTCTTCTGTGCTCTCGGTGTTTTGGGTGTTTTCCGGGAAAATTTGATTGCTTTTTTTAGGGTTTTTATCAAACCCTTAAAATCTCTCTCAAGGAATAATAATGTTTAGTAACAACTCAATTTATTTACCAATATAATATCTAAACGTCAAACTATGTGCTTTTTTTTTAGGGTTTTTATCAATCCCTTAAAATCTCTCTCTTTCCCTGTGTGCCCATTCATTGATCTCTGTCACAAACCCGCCTCCAAACGCCATTACATTCTCTCCCTGGAAATTTTTCCTTTTTTGTTTTTCTTTTTGGGTTTTCGCTCTATTTGGGTGCGTTTCGTTCTCCAGTTTTACTGGTAAAAAAAGCAGTGATTTGATAAAAAAAACAGCAAGACTGATTCGTTCATTGATTGATGACAACCTATTTGACGAGTTTATTATGCTTTGTCTAATTCATATTGGGATTCAAAACTAAAGCTACGGAATCTCATTCGAGTAACGGTTGTAAGAATATATCGACATTAATTACAACAAGGCCTTTATTTATCAAGTCATATGTGAGCTTTTTTTGTGTAGCATCAATGGCAATCTCTACATCCTATCATGGATGATGAACTTTACAAATATCTTCTGTACAGGATTCCCATAACAGGAAGCATCAATGGCATGATTTGGCAGCGCTCAAGAATGAAGAAATGAAATCAATTGACTAAGAGATCGCAATCTTTGGGGGGAGGAGTAGGTGTCACTCCCACGCATCTGGAAGCGCATATGCTATCGCTTCTCAGGAGACAGGAGCCTCTGCGCTTCACTTGAGCTGTCGCTTTTGGACAAATATCTGAACAAGGGTTTATGCCCTCTTCTTCATATGTGCATACTCGCTCTCTGCATTTGTAGTTTCACCCTAGTCAGATATACTCGTTGGCTTGTTAGTGTTATATTGGGATTCTTATCTAACAAGTCACCTTGGGAGGGAGGTGTACTTTCTCTTCATCGGCTGGGGATTCCCTTCATCCTCATCTTGTCCTTGGAGACAGGCGAATTGTTGTTTGAACTGCTCAACTCCACTGATCATCACAAGAAAACCAAAGATTCTGTCAAGAATGAATGAGGAGATGTAATTCACTTTGATGTTAAAGCAAAACACATAAACAAATGCGTGAAAGACTGAACCTTGGATATAAAAAATGAGAGTTGAGGTTCTCTTCTCCATGTAGGTATTCTTGCAGCATCTGTGGATGATACTCTAATATCTGTTGTTGTCCACTCAATTGTGTTAGAAAATTGAGATTGTTTTTTTTAAAACTCAATTACCTCTCTGTACACAGACACAGAGAGAGAGAGATTTGGGGAAAGAGAAAAAAAAAAGCAAAGAGAGACCTCTCTGTACATGAGCTCTCTCACATCTTCCCTGCTCAATTTCCTCCTTTCAAACTCAAATTCAAGCTTTGAGATGGGCTGCCTTGATGGCTCGTACTCAACGTTCGCCAACCCTTTAAAATACGGATCAGCCAACGCCTACACAATACACATTGCATCGCTAAATGAGCATTCCATTGCATCTATCAAAGTGCAAGAAGATGAAAAGAGAAAGGCTTTCTCTTACCTCTTCAGCAGAGGGACGGTTCTTGGGATCAAACGCAATCAAATGCTGAAGCAAACCCAGAGCCAAAGGATCGGCATTGGGGAATTTTTTGGAGAGAGGAACAGGTTCCTTTCGCCTCATGTTACTTAAATACTTTCTAGCCTTCTCATTCGGTATCTACATTACAATTATAAAGAAAGCTAAGAACACTTGATTTGGGGAGAGAAGCGAGTTAGTTTTTGGGGAAAAGAGAGAGAGAGAGAGCAGACCATTGCTATGGTTTCAGGGGAGGGAGTGCCAAGCAGATCAGTGACGAGTTCAAGCTGATGCACAACGTCCTTGCCGGGAAACAATGGCTTTCCGGTAAGCATCTCCGCAAATATGCAGCCTACACTCCATATGTCAATTGCTGGTGTGTACTGCTTGCAAAAAACAACAACAACATAAAAACTTTAGTGGTTGCAACTAATGGCCGGAATGTAGAAATAGAAACATACAGGCCTCAGCATAAAATGTGAACTTTGTTTGGCATTGTCGTGGAATAGAATATTTTCATAATCTGATCTGATAGAAAGGGGTTTCGTAAATGAAAAGGTGCACCAACAGGAAAAAAGAAGGGGCAGAATACTCTTATGGCTGGATGAGTTAGTGAGAAGACTTACGTTGGAATAGAAAGAACCGCAGAGCTCAGGAGCACGATACCACCTCGTAGCAACGTAGTCCTTGCAAAAGAAACGACGTGAGATTGCCATTGGGCTTGCTTTTCAAGCCTAACGGCTAAACGCATAACAAGACACACGGATATAATCTGTCATATACGATAATCAAGTCAGCAAGAAAATCAGATGTTAAAAGAGAGAGAGACATACAGTCCAGAAAACAGCTGAAGGGGAATCGGTGAAAGAAACCCGAGCCAGTCCAAAATCACAAATCTTGAGTTTGCAGTCAGCATTAGCAAGGATGTTCTTGGGCTTCAGGTCTCTATGGAAAACATGAGCTATAGATATACACCCACAAAACAAAAACAGAGAAAGGATTCATGAAACGAATCAGAGGAATTCTATAAAAGAGGTAATGCAGTGAGACCTTACCCGAGTGCATGAATTTGAGACCACGGAGAAGTTGGTACAAGAAGAATTGGTGATGCTGAGGCGTGAGGTCGTCATTTACCTTTAGGACATGGTGAAGATCCGATTCCATCAACTCAAAAACTACATAAATATCTTTGAACTCCTTCCGACAAGGAGGGAGCATTATATGTTTGATCTGGACGACGTCAGGGTGTCGGAGAAGTCTGAGGAGCTTTATCTCTCGGAGTATCCGTATAGCATCAGACACATGATCAAACACGTTAGTCATCTTCTTTATAGCCACTTTCCTCCTTGTCTGTGGGCACACAGCAGAAGCAACTACACCATAGCTCCCTTTCCCCACCACTTGCTCAATCTGATACTTACTGCCTTCCCCATACTCCGTGAAAAATTCTTTCCCCGTCATGATTGTCTGTCTTAAAAAACAAACATTCATAAGCATTTCCATCCCCGCGCAAATATGAAGGAGCTCGCACTCCTCCATTTCTGTAGCTGTTCATCAGATTTGTCAGAACAACTTCACAAACCTAATCGTTCTACACATATTTGCTGATCAGAGAGAAAGAAAAAAAAAAGGCAGACAATTTTTGAGGCACTGCATCTCAGTTATGTCGGATTCGCTTACAAGACCTAATCTTTCTACATGCATCCACGGATGGAAGACAACAAGCCTAGAAATATTCCTACTTGTACGCACAACCAATGCCATTTCAACAGCACGGCCAATTTCCACGAATCCGAACATAGAAAAAGACCGCGAACACAAAGAACAAAACTACAAACCCAGATAGTGAAAACGAAAAGAGAATATAAAAAAAAGCCCCAAATAACTAACAAAGGATTGAACGATGGATGCAGATATCATCTCTTCAGGGACGATGACATCTTGGGCACATTGCACGAGTGATGGAAAGCTGAGTTTGAGGTTTATTTAGTGTTTGTATTATGACTTATTAAGGATAATCATTTGCAAGGGACTAATTTTGGTCGGATAATGTGGATGAACTTTTATCAAACACCATTTGCCCATTTGAATGCGTCTCTTTGGAACTATCTTTGTTCTCTCTCCTAATAACTCCTCGAGCGTATGCGTGTGTATCCAAACACACGCACACTTTTAATATATACAACAGATTTGATGTGAAAAGGAGGCTGCGCATTGGAGTGGAGAGCTTTGGCTGATTCAATGAAGTATTTAAACGAAAAAGAAAATGATGCAAACGCGGATTAGGAGGAGAAAAGGACGGCCGACAAACAGATCCATTAAAATATCCAAAAAGATCAATTCAGCAAAGTCCCAGAAAAAGACATAGGCGCTGAAATTATCCTACGGAAAATCCATTGGATGGATTAAAAATAGAGATTTTTTCTTTTGAAAAGATGTAAAAATTAGTAGAAAAGCGATGCCTTACATTAGAATCTTATCCCAAATTACACGGAGTAATAGTTTATATTATTACGAAGACAGGAAGGACAGGGGGGTTGTTGCTGTCGACAAATGAACACGCGCGCGCGCGCTCTCTCACACGACAGCGTCAGCGGCTCCAAATTCCCACCACCATTTGTTGACTATCCTTCAAAACGGTGTCGTCTCCTCCCGCGTTAAAATGGGCCACAGGCCCACCACGATCGCTTTTCTAAAGGGATCAATGATCTGATGCCACGTGGCATCCTGTGACGTCTACTACACCCACCCCATATTTTTCGTGACATATACTGTAGACCTCTCTCTCTCTCTCTCTCTCTCTCTCTCTCTCTCTCTCTCTCTCACACACACACACACACGCCTCTTTCGGTTTGACTATTGTAATGATCCCAAATCGTCAAATCATGGGAGCATTAGATGATGGTCTTTGTGATTACATTGAATCGTCAATTCAGATTTGACAAATAAGATATAATGGTAGCAGTAGCACTGTAGCAGTAACACAAGCAAGAGTCCAAAGAGATAAGTTTTATGGTCTAATAACAAAATTAAAGGAGAAAGCCTCTGGACTTTAAGAAATATACCAACACCGCCAGCATCACTACAAACAGCGCCACCCACCACCCATTTCCATCTGCACCCGCACACACATTCATTATATAGTATAGTTACAATGTGAGATACTATATTACTACATAGTATATGATGTACTTACGTTCTTCACCCATTTGTTCTTCCACCAGCGTCAGCCTTGCACTTGAATCCATCGATGCTGACACCAAACCCCTGAATCCCATCCCGCCAACATCCAAAACTCACACATTTCATATCCTTATTACTTAGCCTCAGTTGCACAGAACAGTACTCTACAAGTAGCAGCCAGCAAAGCACTTCTGATACCATCAGTGAATGAATTGAATTTGAATTACCTTGAATCAGGGGAAAAAGTCAAAGCAGTCACCAGCCCCAGGTGAGCTCTCTTAACCACTTGCTTCACCCTCATGCTTCCTGAATCTACCACCCATACATTTCCTTCTATCGTTCCTCTTTTACCATACATTACATATTCATCCAACCAACAGCAACAACAACAAAAAAAGACACCCATCATTCTCACATTCTATAAGATTTAAGTAGTAAGTAACGGACACACAATTCATAGCTAGCTTCACATACAAGGTCAAATGCAAGTACACAACCAAATAAGATCACCATACAACGAAAAGCCAAAATATGCTAATATATATATATGAAGGTCTGAGAGACTTACAGCGCAAGCAGCTTTCCATCAGGTGATACATTAAACGCAGAAATAGCATCTTTAGTTATTTGCTTTGCCCCCTTTCTCTTCCATGACGTTGTGTCCCATGTTATAACACTTCCGCCACGATCTGCACGTGTTAAAGTATACTCTGAGTCTTTAGCAAATAGATTCTAAATAGTTTCTCCACATTAGATAAGGGAAGAACAGAGGTGAAAGTCCGGCATTACCTGTCATTGCAGCGACGTAAAGAACCTCATCGTCTCCATTGCGTGAGAAGAATCTACAGAATGCAAAAATCTCATCCTGGGTGTGAGATTAAAGCATCAATCAGTTTCAATGTCATTAAAGACCCATTGTTATTGTGGAAGTTTCTAATGGAAACAAACAATATTTTGTTTAAAGAAAACGATCAAGATGCTCCTGACATAGAACAGGATATAATGTGAGTGAGACGATTTTGTTTGCTAATACTGATCTACTCATAAATTTGTAACCAAGTAATAATACTATACATGATGTTTTAACATTGATCAAACATGATCAATGAATAAGGTTTCACTTTCACCTCAAGACAAAGAAGCAAATATTAGAAGACTCTGGAACTACAATCATAGCAGAAGTCAAACATTAAAAACTTCAAGACAAGGTGAGGTACGCAGAACTAACCTTCTCCTTGGATAAACTGGCAACGGCAGCAGAAGCAGATACATCCCAAACCCGGCAAAGTGGAGCTCCCAGAGATACAAGAAACTTACCGCTTAAGCTGGAAGGAAAGGATTTCTGTCAGAGAGCTTTTCTGTAATCATTTCAACAGTTCTCTATGATGGTCAAAGGCTTTTTTCCCTTCAGAAAGTAAGAGAAGTTCTTTCTGTATCCATTGTGGGTTTTCTTACATTTTATCCAAGTTATCATTGACTCATTTCGGAAGGATTTGCTATCAAAAGATACTTTTTCTTTCACTGATCGAACGAACCTCTTTCCGGAAAAATCATAATTTCCTTATGAAACTGGAAAGAGAAGGCAAGCACCTGAAAGTTAGGTCCTTAACAGATGAATGTGCCTTAGACTCGTTAAGTATCATTTTCATGCTTGGCCACTTGAAGACTCTCAAAGTTCCATCCTGTACTGCAGCAAAATAAAATGTTAGTATGCAGGGCAACACCATTGTTTGTTTCCCCCACTGATTTTCTAGAAATATGACAAGAACTAAGCCTACCTCGCCACCAGTAGCAAGCACAGATCCGTCACGATTGAACGCTAGTGCTAACTGTTGTCCAACATCTTGTAACTCTTGAACCACTCTCTCTGACTCTTCACTGTCATGATCATTGTCTCCAGAGCTCAGAATCTCTTCCCATTTAAACACTCTGCATATCAATAGAACAGCAAGAACTCTGACGTTCATTCCTCGGAATTGCTAGAAATCCAGATCTAGCACGCGATATTTGGGGATAAAAGATTTGGTACGATAAACTCCCTACAACTCTTCGCAGGATGGTAAGTCATTGGGTCAAACGACATCATAGAGTACGACATCAAAAACCTTTACTAGAAGACAATGCAATGAGATGACGCACCTGCATCTGTTTGGCAATCCGCAAATTAGACCATCTCCTCCGGGATGAACCGTCATTCGGTAAGGCAGATCAGAGCCAGTTAGATGATTAGCCACCTAAAAATGGAGACAATTACATGCGTTTGAGCTTCGAAGTGAAGAATAGAAACCCTACAGATCTTTCATGCAGTGGGCAAAAGAGCTACAAGTACCATCGGTATTCGAATGAAACGGATAAAACGGAGAATCGATTGGACGGACTTACAGGTCGTCCCGACAGAGAGTTGGCGGCGAGATCAACATGGGAGATGATGATGGCGTTGGGAATACCGCTGTGGCCCTCTCCACCACCGCCGGCCAAAACGACGTAATCCCGGGACGACGAAGACGACTCGCCATCTTTGGACTTCTCCGGATCCTTGGAAATGTTAGATCTGACGGCGTCTTCAGGAACCCAAGCGGTGGCGTAGAAAGGAACGCCATACCGCTGCAGATTCGCCGGTGGATTGCCCTGATTCGCCATTGCCGTGTGCTGCGTCGAGCTCACCAAGGCGACACCAATGCGAAAGTCTCTCCCCCGACACGTGCACTGTGACTAAGTTCGGAGAGGAACTAACCCAATTTAAAATTGGCCCATTAACAGAGGACCCAATTAAAGCCCACAAAGTAATCAAATGGCCTCGACACGCGCGGATTCCTAAACCAAGTAAAACCCTAACATTTTCTCAAAACCCTACGACCTGGAACCTTCGTTCAGCGTCGCATTCGAGCTTTAAATTAAAAAAAAAAAAACCTGGTTGCTCGTCAATCAACCTTTGAGCATTTCTTGGAGAAAAATTCAGGTAGCTCAGAGATGATGAAGCGTCTGATTCCAACGTTCAACCGCGTCCTGGTGCAGAAAATCGTCCAGCCGACGAAAACCGACGCTGGCATTCTCCTCCCGGAGAAATCTGCCAAGGTAAGTATCGTTTATCCAGGGCGATTTGACCTTCTGATTACCGGAGAACTCTGATCACTAAACATTTTCGGTGTGCTGCAGCTGAACTCCGGCAAGGTGATAGCAGTGGGACCGGGCTCAAGGGACAGAGACGGGAAATTGATCCCGGCCTCGGTCAAGGAAGGCGACACTGTTCTTCTCCCCGAGTACGGCGGTACCCAAGTCAAGCTCGGCGAACACGAGTAAGTAAAATCAACTTTCTTCTTATTACATGTCTGCCCTCCGAGTGTCAAGATATTGGAGTAGTGGCTCCTTACTTGTTCTGTTGGATTGGATAGTCCCCGAGCCCCATTATTGGCAACATTTCTAGATTTCAGTTTACGCCTTGGGAGTGTTAGAATATGAAAGATATGTCTCGCGGGTTTTTTTATTGTTCAGATAAACCCCGTACCTAGAATTCCGATCTGATGGTTTCCTTTATTAAAAAATCTTCTAGGTTGTGGAATAGTCCGCCGAGTATCAGAGTGTAGTAAACCGTAACAAGTGTCGTTTGACTTGCTTTCATGCCTGAATTCTGTCCGAGTATAGATCATCGAATTTGGCCCCAAATAACTAACAAAGGATTGAACGATGGATGCAGATATCATCTCTTCAGGGACGATGACATCTTGGGCACATTGCACGAGTGATGGAAAGCTGAGTTTGAGGTTTATTTAGTGTTTGTATTATGACTTATTAAGGATAATCATTTGCAAGGGACTAATTTTGGTCGGATAATGTGGATGAACTTTTATCAAACACCATTTGCCCATTTGAATGCGTCTCTTTGGAACTATCTTTGTTCTCTCTCCTAATAACTCCTCGTTGAATGAATGAATGTGTCGTCAAGTTATACATGAACTGTGTGAATGGGTATCATTCGGTCACAAACAGGATTGGATCTAAGCGTAGAAGTGGAAGGTGCCGTTCCGAAGGAAATATTACCTGAAATGGACATACAATGCATATAATCAAACATTAACTTTGCCGTGCTTTTTTAGCTGTGAAACAATTTATTAGCATTATTGTCTCATCATTCTATATCTCCAAGCTTTATACAACTATTTTGCTTTTTATAATTCGGATCTCATGTTGGGCGGATTCTTAAAACTAAATCAATGAATAAAACCTGTAATGTATATTTTCATATATGTCCGTGGATTTTATTTTTTTTGGGTTATTTTTCGCCGAACAAAGTATTCCCTCACTTGAGGAAAAAAGAAGAACAAATTATTATCTATGGAGGATGTGACAGTGAGTATTTTTAGGGCAATATTTTATTTTTTTCTTGTATTCGAAATATTTACAGATACTCATATTTGGGAAATGAATAATTCTGTTAATAAGATTTATATTATAAAAAAAAACAAAAGAACTAACATTACCAGAAAGCCAAATAATTTTAAATATTGGGGAAAAAAAAGGATAAGGAGAAAACAATTGAAAAAACAAAAAAGAAGGGGAGAGGAGATGCATGTGACCGATCACGCCTCCACCGCACGAAAAAAAGGGGCTCTCTCTCTCTCTCGCGGTGTTTTACTTCAAATTCAGCCACCATCTCCGCCTCGCCGTCTCCGGAAAATCGCCTCTCGTGGCTCTCATCACCACCAACCGCCGGCCCGTAGACTTATGACTTAGCCGGTGTGACGACAGAGGAGGGGAAACAGGTTCTGCAACGGAAGGGAGACAGAGCGAGAGATCTGCTGAAGTGCTGATTCAAATGCACGCGAAGAATCGGCTGCCCAGCAGCGGCCACAATACTCCATCGCCCCCGGCATCTCCTCTCCGTTCGCCTCGCTACCGGCACGGCCGGTCAAAGACCA